GTCTGGGGGAGCCGTGGGGAGGGGGTGGAGCCCCAGTGGGCCGAGAGCCGGGGCCACAGGGTGAAGGCATCCGCGCCTTCAAACCGAGAGCAGCCTGCAGGGGGGTCCAAAGAGGCTGGAGAGGGGCTGGTCTCAGTGGGGGCAGGTGGCAGAGGGAGGAGCAATGGGCTCAAGGTGCAGCAGGGGAGGGCTAGGTTGGAGATTAGGTAAAACTATTTCCCTGGGGGGGAAGCGCTGGGCGGGGTTCCCTGGGGGGGGTGGAATCTCCATCCCTGGAGGTGTTTAAGTCCCGGCTTGACAGAGCCCTGGCCGGGCTGATGGGGTTGGGCTGGTCCTGCCTTGGGCAGGGGCTGGACTCGGTGCCTCCTGGGGTCTCTGCTGCCCTGGGGTCCAATGAGTCTGAGGGGTAGTCGGGTGCGACCGGCGGGGCCGTTCCGCGGGTGCCGGTGCCCTGCGAGCGGCTGTTGGTAAGCGAAGGCAGAGCCCAGCCCTGAGAAAGGGGAGAGGGCGAGGAACCCCGCTGCAGAACCACGACTCAAGGCGCTCCAGGGAGTCAGCTTCACAAGCCCGAGGCCTGGGCGCCCCCCGCAAACTGTCTCTCCAGGCCCGACCAGCGCCCAGGGCCCGTGGCAGCCGTGGGAGGAGTCGAATTTTTCGGCCGAATTCCAGTTCGGATAGTTCCATCCCGGGAGGAGACTTGGTCACAGGGAGCCCGGCGGGGTTGGCTGCGCGAGCGCCCCGTCCGCCTGCCAGGGAAGCCACTAGAGCTCTGTGGGGGCACAGAGCGTGCGGGGGAGGTCGAGGCAGGTGGAACCGAGCCCCCCAGAGAGCTTGGAGATAAGGGGGGCCGGGGGGACACCGAGGGGAGAGCGCCACTGATGACTAGAAGCAGGGGCAGGCTCCGTCTCTCCTGGGGCTTCCGTAGGGCCCCTCCCTGGGTATCGGGCCTTTTTCCATCTCCACAGTCCCCCGGCCGCGGGAGGCTGACAGGCGAGCCGAGTGGGAGTCCCGCGGCCACTTGGTGACGTGGGGCACCGGCCGGGGGGGCCGAGCGGCCCCCAGAATGGCGAGATGGGAAGAGGCCGACCCAACCCCCGCTGAGTGGCCTTTGCCTTGCCTGGTTTTAAACAGCCCCTCGGCTCAGGCTGCAGCCGCCGCCCGGGAGCTCGGTCGCCCGCTTTCGTCCTGGTTCCCCCAGCGAAGCAGAGGGGCTACGCGCAGGACCCTGAAAGCCAGAGGCAGCTGCGCCATCGCCGAGTGCGGAAGCACATGGGACTCTGCTCCCTCTGGATCCTGGTGCCGCAGCCGGTCCCTGCATTTGTCCCCCACTGGCCCTGCTTCTCCCCGTGTGCAGCTGGCTGCCCCGCAGCCCCCCTCGTTCCCCTCCTCTCTGACCCTCCCCCGCCCCTGCCCTGGCGAGGTGAGTCAGGGCGTTACCCCCCTCGTTCAAATGGGGAAACTGAGGCACCAGGCTGTTGCGTGACCAGCCGGAGGCCGTACAAGTCGATAGCAGAGCTGGGCCCCGGTCATTTCACAGCCCGCGCTGTGCTCGCAGCGCCGGGTTTCTCATCCTTCCTGTTACACTCACAGAGCAGCAGACAGGACACAGCGGGCTGTGCGGAGCCTGGGTGGGTGTGGTGGCGTGACAGTTGGACGCCCTGCCCCCGTTTGCTCTGGAGATCCGGGCGGGGTTGCCTTGTAGGCTGGCGATACAAGCAACCCCCGGAGCTTTTGACAGTTTGGGGTGGCCCCCTGCTCCCCTTTCCCACGTGCTGCGTGGCCCAGCCTGACACGGGCTGTGTTCCCCCTCTCGGGCTTCGCCGTTGCTTTCCTGCCAGGAATCGCCCGTTGGCGCAGGGCCGGGCACGTGGCTCGGGCCGCTGGCGGTTGTGCCGGGGCTGTGTCTCGCCAGGGATCGGGGCCGCCATGGCGGCCGGCAGAGAGCAAACGCAGGCGCCGGCGACAGCCGTGGGTGACCCGTGGCGTGTCCGAGCAGGACTCAGCTGCCTGGCGCCGTTGCATTGCTCAGCCTCTCTGGCCGGCTGGAATGGCTGCAGGGGGCGCGGCATGGCAGGGGGGCGGGCCTGGTTTCGCTATGAGTGTTCTCTCACTGCAGCTACCTACGCGTCCTGCCGGGCGCTGCTCAGCCCCTAGCTAAAGCTCACCCGTGGCTGCCGGCCGGGACAGGCTCACGTGCGAAATAAGGCGCAGGGGCTCCACAGCCAGGCGGGTGTCTGGCCAGCGGGATACGCTCCCGGGGGAAGTCTCCCCCTCGGGATGTCCTGAGCCAGGCCGCTGCTGTGCTGGGCGCTGTGTTACGGGGCTGGAGGCGGGGGAGACGGGGCGATGGAACGGCCCGTGGCCCCCAGCTGCTCGCACTCGATGAACTCTGGTCCCGTCTGGTGGGGTGTGGGTGGGCAGCTGGCAGGGCAGGGCACTAAACACCCTCCCGGTTTCCCATGAGGTGGGTTCAGAGACAATAATAGTGGGGGAGAGAATTCAGATGCCAGGATGACAAACTACAGGCTGCCGTCTCCATCGCTCGTGTTGTTATTCGCACTAGTGCAAGATGGGTGTGAAACACACTCACAGGAAGATCAGATCAGACCCCTGGCTCCATGCCAAGGCTCCTGGGCTCGGGTCCTCAATGGTACTTAGGTTCCTAACTCCCATTGTAATCTACAGCAGCTCAGGGCCCCAGGAATTAGCGGGGACCAACCCAGCAATGGGAGTTTGACAGGAAGTGGAGCCGAGCGATGATCGTGAGTCTCGTTACTTGTGCGTCTACCGCCGTCGTGCCCTGGCAGCCTCGGCTGGCGCTAGGCGCTGTACACAGAACTGCCCCAAAGAGCCGGGCTCTGAGTCACAGCCGGGGGCGTCTGAAAGGCTCCCACAGTTGAGAACCTGGATGAAAAGGGCGCGGATGGGCAGGGCCGGATTACAGTCATGGCTGGCCTAGGCCCGCACAGTCGTAGGCCTGGAAAGTGATTGTCTGTGCGGGAGAAACGCCCTGTCGCCCGTCGCCAGCGTCGCCCGCTTGACGTCTCGCTCTGGAGCGCGGCGCCGTGTGCGCGGGTCGGGGCCCTTGGCTCTGAACTAAGGCGGGCGGGACCCACGGCGGAGGCGCGTCCCCTGCCGGCTGAGCGAAGCCCCCTCGGGGCTCTGGCTGAACGCGGCGTGTCCCACCCCGGAGGGTTCACAAGCTGCAGCGCGCTGGGGCCTTCCAGGCGCCGCCAGTGTCACTTCTGCAAGTGTCCCGGGGGCTGGACAGGCAGGGTTGTAGCAATCTGGGGTTGGGGGGTGCGGGCTGGGCTGAGGCTGGGTCGAGGGCCGGTTCCTGGGCAGGGCTGTGTCCCCAGGCTGGGCCGCACCAGGCTGAGCTGGGTCAGGTCCTGGGCTGGGCCACAAGCTGCTGCTGCGGGGGAGGAAAAGGGGAACTGAGGCGAGCGTTGTGAAAGCACCGCGCACGGCTCCCTGCCCCGTGGCTGACAGTTACTTCAGGCAGCCAGGAAGGAGGAGTCGGGGGGCCGGGTGCAGGCTTCCCAGGGCAGCCCGGGTGGGGGCTGCCCATTCCTGCCCCCGACCAGCCCAGCCCCAGAGCTGTCCCCTTCCTCTCCAGCCCCCTCTCCCCCCAGGCCGCAGCCCCCGCCCCTTCCACGGTCAGCCCCCTGCTCGGGGGGCCGTGACCCCCTTTCCCTGCACAGGGCAGAGCAGGAGCCCG